TTATCCCTCTGGGAAAGCCCCTCTGGAATGTTTGGGAGACGAACACCTCGGATCCACGGTCCCTGTCCCTGGGAATGCTCCTCTGGGAATGCTCCCGGAGCCTCCTCCTGCCAATCCTGCCCCGGGATCGACACACAACCCCATGTAAATTGATGTAAATTTATGCAAATTAATGCAAACGAGCCCCTCCCTGGGCCGGGCCCTCCCGGAGCTGGGGCGGGAACCCAAAAAACCGGTTTTTAGGGGCGTGGAGCGAGAATCTGGGAGGAACTTGAAGTATTTGGCTTTGAAAAATGAAGGGAAGGGATGGGGTGTGTTGATATGTTTATTTTTAGAAAACTAAATGTGTTTTGTACCTATTCTGTATGTTTGTGTGTTTGTATTTCGGTGTCTTTCGATTTAATAGGTTTTAACTTCAACACTTTGTCATATACATTTTTAGATCTTTATTTTAAGGTCTTTTTAGATCTTCATATCTATTTTTATATTATATATATTATATAGTTATATAGTTATATTTCTGTTTATTTTATTTTCACTATATTTTAATTTTAACACATCTGTGTACGTTTCCTATATTCATTTTTATATATTGATATTTATTCTTATATTTATATAATATATTTATATATTTATATCCCAGTTTATTTAAATGTATTTTCAATATAATTTTAAAACACCTATGTACCTTTTACATATTTATTTTTATATATTGATATTTATTCTTATATTTATATTATATATTTATATCTCAGTTTATTTATATGGATTTTCAATATATTTTCATTTTAACACATCTGTATTTATATACACAAATATTTTATATATATTTATTTTTATAAGTTTAAATGTATTTTAATATATTTTAATATGAAACGTATATTTTATATTAATATTTATAACTATATATTATTATATTATATATAATATATATTTATAATTAATATTTCAATTTATTTCAATATATTTTCATTTTAACACATCCATATTTATATACATATATTTTATAGATTTATTGTTTATATGCATATGTTGTATAGATTCATTGTTACATGTTTACATGTATTGTATATACAGTATAAATAAAACATACTAATATTTTAATTTCTTTTAATATATTTTAACACGTAGAGTTATATATATTTAAATTTTAATATATATGATTTTAATATATTCAACATATTAAAATAAATTTTAAGATATAATTTAAATTTTAATGTATCTATTTTATGTTATTAATTATAGCACATATTAGCATATAGCACATAGAAAGAAAACACATTAATAATAAATATATTAATAAAATAAATTAATAATTAAAATAAATTAATATAACTAACGGTTCTATTTAAATTTATTCAGTTAAATGTAAGAATTCTGCATTAATATATCTCTAATATATGGATAAATTGACAGGGATCTCCGGGATGAGGGGGATGGAGCCGACCCAGCGATGCCCCCTGCTGGCATCTTCCCGGGAAAACTCCGGGACACCGCCAGGAGATCTCCCAGCTTTTCCAGAGGGGTTTTTTGGGGGGATATTTTTAAATTCTATATATCTGTATTTCTATAAAGATCCACGGAATTGTGGGGTTGGAGCCCACCCAGGGATGGGCATCTTCCCGGGAAAGCTCTGCCCCCTCTTTCCCAGCTTCTCCAAAGGGGGTTTTTGGGAATACTTTGTGTGGACGCCCCAAAATGTGCCCTGGGTGACTCCCCGAGCCCTGGGCTGGAGGTGCCGGATCCCTCGGAGCACCTGGAAGGATCCAGGGGAGCAGCTGGATTGCATTTGCTCCCTGGTTTTCCATCCAGAATTCCCTCAGAGCTGCACAAACCCACCCGTGGAACTTGGAATGCACCTGGATCCAGCTTCCAGCTCATCCCTGCTCCTTCCACATCTCCCAGGTGTGCTATTCCCAGAAAACCCCCCCTGCCTGCATCATCCCACCGAGCCAGAGCCTAAATCCTGCTCTTCCCACCACAAAATCCTCGGGAAAGTTCAACTTATATGGATAAATCACCTCCTGGAGCAGCAGTAATTCCATAAAAAACTTGGAGGTGCCACCTGGCTGCAGAAGGAGCATGGAAAGGGATTTGTATGGATTGCATCCATCCCTTTCCACGTGATCCAGGTGAATCCCTGCTCCCTGCTTGGATTGCATCCATCCCTTTCCACCTGATCCAGGTGGATATTTTCGCTGCTGTGGGGAAGAGGCAAATACGCCTGGCAGACATTCCCATTCCTTTCCCACAGCCACCCTCTCCCAGGATACTTGGATTTTTCCAGGGGCTCTTGCTGCAAACCCCCTTTTCCAAACTCTATGGCTGCATCCCAAATATCCCCATCCCCAGGGATACCCCAAACATTCCATCCAGGCATGCCCCAAACATTTCCATTCCCAGGGATACCCCAAACATCTCCATTCCCAGGGATACCCCAAACATCCCTATCCAGGGATACCCCAAACATCCCCATCCAGGGATACCCCAAACATCCCCATCCAGGGATACCCCAAACATCCCCATCCAGGGATACCCCAAACATCTCCATTCCCAGGGATACCCCAAACATCCCTATCCAGGGATACCCCAAATATCCTCATCCAGGGATACCTCAAACATACCCATCCAGGGATACCCCAAATATCTTCATCCAGGGATACCCCAAACATCCCCATCCAGGGATACCCCAAACATCCCTATCCAGGGATATCCCACCCAGGAATACCCCAAACATCCCAGCCAGGGATACCCCAGCCCTGGATGTGGGAGTGGGGAGAGCTGAGCAAGGCCGAGGTTATCCCAGGTGAGACTCTGCCCATTCCAGACTCCCCTGGGAATTATCAGGTAAAACCAGTTTTTCCCAAGCCCAAGAAAAACCCGTTCCAGGCCAGGCCTGCCCCAACCTGCCCCAAGCTCTTCCCACCCACCCTATAAAACCCAGCCCGGCTTTTGGGGGAAAAAAGGCCGTTTTTAGGGATAAGCAGCCGGGTCCCAGCCCCAGAGATCCATCCCAGTCCATCCCATCCCTCTGGAGCTCATGGAAAACCCCTGAAGAACCCCGATTTCCCCCCCTGCTCCTGGAAGTGATGCTGGGCCGAGATGCTCGGGGGGTAATTCTGTGAGTACTGCGGGAATTGGGAATTTGGGAGCATTTGGGAGGTTTTTTTCTGGAATTCCAAGGGTTTGCCCGTGTTTTGGGGGGGATTTGGGGGTGGGTTTGCACCGGAATCCTGTGGGCTGAGGTCCCAAAATTGCATCAGCACTTGGGATTGCATCAGACACCGGAAATCCATGGGATATTGCAGCGGAATCAGAGAGGAAAACACCACCCAAAACTGAGAACTAATCAGATATTTTCGATAAATCACAGATTTTGAATCAGTCAAATATTGCAAATGAGTCAAATGCTCCCAATCAATCACAAATTCCAAGGGCTGCACGAGTTCCCCTCCTGCCAAAATCCCTCGATCTAATCAAGGGAATTTTCTCCTGGTTAAAAAGAAAGGGGCAGGAGGTGAGGAGAAAAAATTGCAATAAAGGCAATATTTGGATTTATTTTGGGGGTGGGGGGGAGGGAAAAAACCCCAAACCAACCCCTTTGCAACATGAACATTTATTTCTTGTGGAAAAACACACTTTGCAATAAGTGCCTTTCTTTTTTGGGGGAAAACCAGGCAATTTGGGCACTTAATTTGGGAAAAACCTTTGGAATAAAGGCAACAAATGGATTTATTTCTTGGGAAAAAAATACATTTTGCAATAGGTACATTTGGGGCTTTTTTGGAGGGGAAAAGAGCCTTTGCAGTAAATTATATAAAGTACTTAATTTTGTGGGGGGGGGGAAAAAAACCCTTTTGTAATCTGGGTATTGAATTTTCAGGGGGGGAAAACCCACTTTGTAACATGTAAATTTTTTGGGGGGGGAGTCTTTTGTAATATGTGCATTTATTTTTGGAGGGGGAAATTATCCTTGGCTACATATATATATATGAATACATATACACATAAATATATATATATTTATTGGGGGGGGCAAAAATCCCCTCGCCCTCTGTATATTTTTTTGGGGGAAAAAAACCCCCACTTTAGAATACATACATTTAATTTTTGGGGAGAAAAAAGTCCTTGGCAATATGTGTATTTATTTTTTTGGGGGGAGAAATCCTTTTGCAATATATATATTTAATTGGGGAGTGGGGGAAATCCCTTTTTTACTAGGTGCATTTAATTTTGGGGGAAATCCCATTTTTAATATGTGCATTCAATTTGGGGAAGAGCAAAAAAATCCCTTGTAATACGTGTATTTATTTTCTGAGGGAAAACCCCATTTTGTAATATGTGCATTTATTGGGGGGGGAACCCTTTTTTAGTACGTGCATTTATTTTTTTGGGGAGGGAGGAACAAAATCCTTGTCAATACGTTCATTTATTTTTGGGGAAATCCATTTTGCAATAGGGGTAGTAAGTTAATTTATTGGAGGGGGAATATCAATACATGTGTTTTTTTTGTGGGGGAAGGAATTTCTTTTTTAATAGATAAATTTAATTTTGGGGGAAAAAAAGCCCTTTGTAATACGTGCATTTATATTTTTAGGGTTAAAAAAAAACCCTTGGCAATACCGGCGTTGATTTCCTGGGGGAAAACCCCTTTCCAACAAACAATACACTTATTTTTTTCCTCGACCAAAAAACTCCAACCCCTCTTTCCACCGAGGCCAAGCGAGCGCATTTCCCCTTTGCCAAAATTCCCCGAATTTGCCCCAAAATTTCTCTCTCAGCACCAAAGGACGTGGGAGGGGAATCCCTTCCAGGAATTCTTTGCTCTCCCGAAGTCTTCCAGCCCTAAAGATGGAGCTGGACTTCTCAGCCTCTTCCTCTCCGAAACAGGATGGAGGATCTTTTTTTTTTTTTTTCCTCTTTTTTTTTTTTCCCCCTTTTCCTGCCCATCCATGTGTTTCTGTTTTGTATTGTCCCGTTGGTTCGGGAGGCTCATATTTACATTTTAAGTGGAGCTGGTGGGTGGGATTTCAGGGAGGAAAAAGGGGAAGAGGCAAAAAAAATTAAAAAAAAAAAAAAGCGAGAGAAAAAAAAAAAAAAAAAGAGAGAAAAAATTACCTTTTTTTTTTTTTTTTTTTCCTGCAACAGGAACCACCACCAAAAATAGTGCAAAGGCCCCGAGTGGTTGCTTTCTTTATGCTGCACCTTTCGCCCTAAAACCAGGTTTGGAATGGGGGTTAAAGGGGCTCGGGGAGGGTAGGAGGAGGAAGAGGGGAAGGGATTGGGGGAAGAAAAGATTTAAAAAAAAAAAAATTAAAAAGGCGGATCCACGTGGTGCGATGGGGGAGACAGAGATCCCATTGTTCCCGGGAAATGGGGATTCCAAAGATAAGGGCGGGGGGAAGAGGAGAGAGGGATGGAGAGAGGGGGGGACACCCCGGGGAGGGTTTGTGCCCCCTCCCCAAATTTCATCGCGGCGCTATAAAATATAAACCCAACCCCCCACACACCCCCCAAATAGCGAATGGAGGGGGCGGAGGCCCCAGGAGCAGGTGGGGGGAAAGGCGGGGAGAGAGAGGGGGCCCCACCGTGTTCCGCTGCCCCCGTTTCCCTTTGGGGGCCCTTTGTCTCCGGGCCCTTTTCCTGCCGTGGATCCCCTTTGTGACCCCCCTCGGACCCCCGGAACACCTTTCTTTGCACCCCCTTCAGCCCCCTCTTTGCCCCCCAGTTGCAAAGTCTCCCCGCTCTCCGCCCCTCCCCCATCCCCCTCCCCTTTGTACCCCCTTTACAACCTCCTTGGCACCCCGCCACCTCCCCCTCCCAAATCTTCCCTCTGCAACCCCCATTCCACACCCCCATTTGAAACCCCTCCTTTCCACTCCCCTTTGGGCCCCCAGAACCCCCGTTTCCACCTCCGCGTTTCAGTCCCTGCTTTGAAGTCCCCCTTTCCAATACCCCACTTCTTCAACACCCCCCATTCGCCCTCCTTTTCAAACCTCCCCTTTTCCAGCCCCCTTTTGCACCCCTCTTTCCAACCCCCTTGCATCCCCCTTTCCAGACGCCCCTTTCCAAGCCCCTTTTCCATCTCCCCTTGCACCCCTCCTTTGACCCCCTGGTGCCAATACCTCCTTTCCAGCCTCCCATTTCCAACTCCCCTTTCCAAGCCCCCTTTTCCAGCCCCCCTTGCACCCCTCATTTCCAACCCCCTCCTTTCCCCCTTCCCAAATTCCCCCTTCCCAGCACAACTGGGCCCCGGAGGAGGGTCTCCTCTTTCCCCCATTCCGTGTTCCCTCCCATATCTCCCCCTCTCCCCCTCCTCCCTCTCCCCCCTTTCCCCCACCGTGTTCCCCTCCGGGTGTCCCCCTTACCCTCCTGTGTCCCCCCTCCTCCCTGCTCTCCCCCTCCCCAGTGTCCTCCCGTGTCCCCGCCACGGGGTTTCTCTCTCTCTCTCCCCGTGTCCCCCTCCTGACCCGTCCCAGGGGTCCCATCTCCCAGTGTCCCCCTCTCCTTCATCGCTCCCCTAGCCCGTCCCCCTACCTGGAGGTCCTCTCTCTGTTCCCCCGTGTCCCTCCAGTGACCTCCCTTGTCCCTCCACCTCCCCCTTGTCCCCTCTGTCCCTCCCCTCTGTCCCCCTCGTCTAGGGATCCCCCTCCTCCACCCGCATCCCTCCCCTGTGCCCCCCACTGTGGGTCCCTCCTCTCCTCCCCAACCCGTGTCCCCCGAGTGTAGCCTCTCTCCCCACTCCCCCTTGTTCCCCCAGCCCTCCCCTCGTTCTCCCGTCCCTCTCCCTGTACCCCTACCTGGGGTCCCTCTCTCTCCCCATCCTGTGTCCCCCTGTCCGGACATCTTCCCCACCCCCTTTCCTGTATCTCCCCATGTCCCCCCGACTGTGGGTCCCCCTCTTCCTCTCTCCCGTGTCCCCGCTTGTGTCCCCCTCTATCCCCCATCCCGTGTCCCGGCGGGTGCGGTACCGCTGTGTGCCCCCATCCTGGGTCTCCCTCCCCTGTCCCCCTGTGTCCCTCCATCCCGTGTCCCACTCCATCCCGTGTCCCACCCATCCGTGTCCCCGTGTCCCCACATCCCATGTCCCCGTGTCCCTGCGTGCCCTCCATCCCATGTCCCCCATGTCCCTCCATGCCCCCCCATCCCGTGTCCCCCGTGTCCCCATCCCGTGTCCCCATCCCGTGTCCCCTGTGTCCCGGCGGTGTCCGGTACCGCTGTGTGCCCCCCATCCCGTGTCCCCGTGTCCCGGCGGGTGCGGTACCGCTGTGTGCCCCGCAGCGATGCCCCGCAGGAAGGCGGCGGGGCCGCCGTGGGACGCGGGTCCCGGCGCGGGGCCGGGCCCGGGCGGGCGGCGGCGTCCCGGGGGAGGCGGCGGGTCCCGGCGGCGGCCCCGGCCCGGCGGCGGCGGCAGCAGCGGCGGCAGCAGCGAGGACGAGGCGCCCCGGGAGCGGCGGCCGCGGGACGGCAGCCCCGGAGCCCGCAGGCCCGGCAGGCCCAGCGGGGCCGCGGCGGGGCCCGGAGCGGGCGGAGGCGCCCGGGGACAGAGCGTGGTCATCTGCGAGCCCGAGCACAGCAAGGAGCGCATCGTGAGCCGGGGCAGGGAGCGAGGGAGGGGGGCACCCCCGGACCCCTGTGGTGGCACCCCCTGCCTTCCCTTCGTTCCCCCTTTACACCCCATTGCACCCCATCTTTGTGCCTCCAGCTGCATCCCCCTGTGCCCCATCACAACCCCTCTTTGAGCCTCCCCCCGTGACCCCCTGTTGCACCCTCTTTACACCCCCCGTAACATCCCTGTGCCCTTACTGCACCCCCTGCATCCCCTTACGTGCCCCCACAGCCCCCCCTGTACCCCCTGTTGCACCCCCTCTTTGTGCCTCCAGCTGCATCCCCCTGTGCCATGTTGCACCCCCTTGTCCATCCCCACTGTGTCCTCAGTGCACCCCCTGCACCCCTTTACACCCCCTGCATCCCCCTTACACCCCTGTTGCCCCCCTTGTGCCCTCCACCCCTGTGCCCTCACTGCAACCCCTGCACCCTCCCTCACACCCCTTAAAGCATCCACCCCCTCGTTTCACCCCGTCCCTGCCGCCCCCACGTCCTCCATGTCCCCCACAGGTCTCCCACATCCCCCCCTGGGATCCCATGTCCCTCATATCCCCTGTATCTCCCCTATTCCTGATGTCCTCACATCCCCAATGTCTCCTGACGTCCCGTACCCCCACATTCCCGATGTTCCCATGCCCCCACATCCCTGATGTCCCCAATGTCCCCCACATCCTCCCCATTCCTGGTGTCCCGACATTCCCTACGTCCCCATGTCCCTCATTGTCCCCAGCGTCCCTGTGTCCCTGACATTGCCCTGTGTCCCCGTATTCCCTACATCCCAGTGTCCCCACTGTCCCCAGTGTCCCCGTGTCCCTGGCATTGTCCCCTGTCCTTACATCCCCATGTCCCCAGTGTCCCCATGTCCCTGACGTTTTCCCTGTCCCCACATTCCCTACATCCCCCTGTCCCCACTGTCCATGTCCCCCTGTCCCCATTATCCCCATGTCCCCATGTCCCCCTGTCCCTGACGTTGTCCCTTGTCCCCATGTCCCCATGTCCCCATGTCCCTGACGTTGTCCCTTGTCCCCACAGAAGCTCGAGGGCTCCAAGAGCCGGGGGCAGCTCCTCATTTTCGGAGCCACCAACTGGGACTTGATCGGCCGCAAAGAAGTGCCTAAGCAGCAGGGTGAGGGACTGAGACCTCCCTAATTAACACTGGTTTGCTTAATTGTTGTTAATTCAGAGTTAATTTGTGATTAATTAATATCTGGGGAGGTTAAAACAGTTGTGGATCGTGATCTGGAGTTTGGGGTGTGCTGGGTCTCCTGCCAAGCAAAACAAACACCTGGATTAGTTTGGATGCTTTCATGTATTCATTGATTTTTCTGCTTATTTTTCTGCACAAATATTTAATTAATATTTTAATTAATTACTCTTTCTGGTGAGATTTCTTTTATACTTGCATGTACTAATTTGGGATGGAGCTGGGGGTGCAGGATGCCCCAGTTCTGCAAAGCAGAATAAAGACGTGGCTTATTTCTTCTGCCTTTAATTAATTTTTCCTGCTTATTTTTAATGCTTTTACATGTAATTAATATTTTTATTAATTACTATTTAGGAGGGTTGTTTGTTATAGTTGCAGAGCATAAACTGGGCCAGAACTTGGGGTGGTGCCCCATATACTCCAAAGCAAAATATACACCTGCACTTTTTTGGACGTATTTATATTTTAATTAATTTCTCTGCTCTTTTTTATCCCTAAATATTTAATTAAAGTTTTAATTAATGAATCATTTTGGAGGGGGTTCATTTGCAGTTGTGTAGCACAATCTGGGTTGGAACTTTGGGTACGTTGGAACTCCTGCAAAGCTAAAATTATTGCAGTGCTTATTTTTGATGGATTTATGTTTCATTAATTTGCTTAATTTTTACATACTTATCTTTAATTAATTTTATTAATTAAGCAGAGGAGGAATCACAGCTGCACAGTTTAATCTAGGCCACAATTTGGGGTGCACTGGATTAAAACACTACTTATTTTTGCACTTATGTTTAATTAATTTTTCTGCTACTTTTTATATGTTTCTATTGAATCGATTTTAATTATTTATTTATTTATTTATTTATTTATTTGTTAAAACTATTTATTAATTGGGGGAAGGAATGAAAGTTGCATCTCTTAATCTGGGCCAGAATTTGGGGTGCACTAAATCTCCTGCAAAGCAACATTAAGGCAGTGCTTACTTTAGATGTACCTACAGTTCATTAATTTTCCTGCTCATTTTAATGTGGTTAGATTTAGTTCATTTTATTAATTAATTAGCTGGGGGAGGAGTCACACTTGCATGTCTTAATTTGGGGCCAGAACTTGGGGTGCACTAAATCTCCTGCAAAGCAAAGTGAACATGCTGCTCAATTTTTCATGTATTTGGGACTACTTTGTGTTTAATTAATTATTTTCTTTACACTATAACTGATTTCCTTAATTTTAGGAGGTATTAATTGATTAATTAATTGATTAATTAATTGATTAATTAATCGAGGGGAGACATCACAGTTGTATATTTTAGTCCAGGGCAGAACTTGGTGTGCACTGAATCTCCTGCAAAGCAAGTGAACACGCTGCCTTTTTTGAGGCACTTATAACCAATTTTTTTCTCCCTATTTTGATGTGGTGTTAATTAACTGATTGATTAATCAATTGATTGATCAGTTAATTATTGAGGGGAGCAGTCACAGTTGCACATCTGAATTTGAGGGCAGAACCTGGTGTGCACTGACACTCCTGCAGGGCCCAACTGCTCGTTTTTAACGCTTTCACACCCAATTTCTCCGCCTATTCTGACGTCTTTCCATTTGCTTCATGTCCTCCTTGATTAACCCCCTCTCCTAATTAATTTTTGGCCCCCAGTTGCCTACAGGAACCTGGGCCAGAACTTGTGGGGGCCGCACAGGTACGGCTGTCTCTCAGGAATTCAGGTGCGCAGCGTCGTGTCGGGGCCCTGCGCCGCCCACAGCCTCCTCATCACCTCTGAGGGCAAGCTCTGGAGCTGGGGTGAGTGGCAAGAAAACCGGCATGCATTCCAGGAAAACCCTTGGGAGGCCAGGACGCTCCATCCTTTGTTAAAAAGAGCGATTTTAGGCTGCTAAAAACGGTGATTTTGGCTCAGGTCGCAATGAGAAGGGGCAGTTGGGCCACGGGGACACGAAGCGCGTGGAGGCCCCGAAGCTCATCGAGGTTTTGGGGGGTGAATCCATCGTGCTGGCAGCCTGTGGGCGCAACCACACCCTGGCACTCACAGGTATTGGGGGGGAAAAGCTTGGCATTCGGGGCAAATTGCTTGAAATCGGCCGGTTTTGCCCCAGAACGTTGCTGGTTTTCTGTTGCAGAGAGCGGCTCCGTCTTTGCGTTCGGGGAGAATAAAATGGGGCAGTTGGGGTTGGGGAACCAGACAGACGCCGTGCCCAGCCCTACCCAGGTATGGCCTCTCCTTCCCTGCTTCCATCCACCTGGGTTTGGGTGAAAAAACAGCAGTTTGGTGGGTTTTTCATTAAAAAAAAAAGCCCAAATAAAACCCAAACCCCCTCGGGATACGAGAACATTACGGGCTGCATTTCCAGCAGCAGTGGGAAAACAAAAGCAAGAATTCTTGAAATTCAGTTTTCAAACCCCCAGATTGGAGGATTTGGGGATTTCCTCTGGGAAATTCAGCACCTTGCCTTTTTTCTGTGGTTTTTTAACCCTTTTTTTCCCCCCGCTTTTCCCCCAGATCATGTACAACGGGCAGCCCATCACCAAACTGGCCTGTGGAGCAGAGTTCAGCATGATCATGGATTGCAAAGGAAACCTCTACTCCTTTGGGTGCCCTGAGTACGGGCAGCTGGGTACGGGGCTGTTTTGGGGCCGATTTTAGGGGATTGGGAAAAGGGGCAAAACTTCCCGCCTCGATGTCCCCGTGGGAGCCACCGAGAGGCCGCAGTGAAACCAGCACTGGAAATCGGGGTTTGCGGGAGGAGATGGGGGTTCTGATGGGAATAACAAGCTGTGGGAAGGGGAGGGATCCCATCTTTATGCCGGTGTTGTATCCACAGGGCACAACTCTGACGGGAAGTTCATCGCCCGGGCGCAGCGGATCGAGTACGACTGCGAGCTGGTGCCGCGGCGCGTGGGGATCTTCATCGAGAAGACCAAAGATGGGCAGATCCTGCCCGTGCCCAACGTGGTGGTTCGGGATGTGGCCTGTGGAGCCAACCACACGGTGAGGAGCAGTGCCCCCAGCACCAGCAGGTCACTGGCAGGGGGTGTGGGAGGTGAAATATTTGCAGGGAGACATCTAAGGATGGAGATTCACGGCAGGAGCTTGGGGAGAAATCCTTGCAGCCTGCATCCGAGGATGGAAGCAGGAATTTAAGGATAAAGCCTTGCATTCAAGGATGGAAGCAGGAATTTAAGGATAAAACCTTGCAACCTGCATCCGAGGATGGAAGCAGGAATTTAAGGATAAAGCCTTGCATTCAAGGATGGAAGCAGGAATTTAAGGATAAAACCTTGCAGCCTGCATCCAAGGATGGAAGCAGGAATTTAAGGATAAATCCTTGCAGTCTGCAGCTAAGGATGAAGATTTGCAGCAGGAATTTAGGGATGAATCCTTTCAACCTGCATTTAAGGATGTAGATTTGCAGCAGGAATTTAGGGATGAACCCTTGCAGTCTGCATTTAAGGACGATTTGCAGTGTGCATCTCAGGCTTGAAGCAGGAATTTAGGGATGAATCCTTGCAGCCTCTGTTTAAGGATGCAGATTTGCAATCTCCATTTGAGGACTGCAGTAGGGATTTAAGGATAAGTCCTTGCAACCTCTGTTTAAGGATGCAGGTTTGCAACCTGTGGATAAAGATAAATATTTGCAGCATTTCTTTAAGGTTTGGGACTTCCAGGGTGCCCAGAGAAGCTGTGGCTGCCCCATCCCTGGAAGTGTCCAAGGCCAGCTTGGACAGGGCTTGGAGCAGCCTGGGCTGGTGGAAGATGTCCCTGCCCATGGCAGGGGGGTGGAACAAGTGGGACTTCCCAACTTTTCCTTCCAACCCAACCCAAACCTAACCTTTTCCTTCCAACCCAAACCCTAACCTTAGGATTCCCTAAGGATAAATCCATTTATTGCACCTGCTGTGCCTCCACCTGCACCGAGCTGGTCGGGTCTCAGCTGCTGACGGTGGTGGCCGCTGTTTTCCCACTCCCAGCTTGTCCTGGACTCCCAGAAACGCGTTTTCTCCTGGGGGTTCGGGGGTTACGGGCGCCTGGGCCACGCGGAGCAGAAGGACGAGATGGTGCCACGGCTGGTGAAGCTCTTTGACTTCCCGGGCCGCGGAGCCACCCAGATCTACGCGGGATACACCTGCTCCTTCGCCGTCAGCGAGACAGGTCGGGGCTCCCAGGGTTCCTGGGGGTTGTTGGGAATTCTCAGGGGTGCCGTGACCTGACTGGCAATGTTGCAGGTGGCTTGTTCTTTTGGGGGGCCACCAACACGTCCCGGGAGTCCACCATGTACCCCAAGGCTGTGCAGGACCTCTGCGGCTGGAAAATCCGCAGCCTGGCCTGTGGGTGAGTCCGAGCTCCAAAGAAACATTCCCGTTCCTTGGGGTTTGGGGTGGAGGGGGGCTCAGGGGCTCACCCTGCCTTGCACCCTCTGCAGGAAGAGCAGCATCATCGTGGCCGCCGACGAGAGCACCATCAGCTGGGGGCCCTCCCCCACCTTTGGGGAGCTGGTAAGGAGGGTTTCCTGGGGACCCCCAGCCCAGGGACACCCCAAAAAGCCCCCAAGCAGTGGGAAGGACTGGCTGCTCCCAAAGCCCAGGCTGATTCTCCCCCTCTCCATGGGATGCTCTTGACAGGGGTACGGAGACCACAAGCCCAAATCATCGACGGCTGCACAAGAGGTGAAGACCCTGGATGGGATCTACACGGAGCAGGTGAGGGGGGATCACCCACAGGGGGCTGGGGCAGGGCACAGGGACCCCCTCACATGGATAGGGCAGCTGAGGCCATGCACAGCTCAGCACACCTGTGGGAGTCAAGGGAGGACTCGAGGAACCCTCTCTTGAAATAAATAGTGTAAATAAATGTGGTGTCTGAGGCCGTGCACAGCTCAACACACCCATGGGGTGCTGCAGGGAGGGTGTGGGGCCCTCCAGGTGTCCATGGGCCCCATTCCTCAATGTCCTCTGTCCCCCCCAAGGTGGCCCTGGGCTGTGTCTCAGTGTCCCTGTCCCTGTCCCAGGTGTCCCTGGGCCATGTCTCAGTGTCCCCTGGGCTGTGTCTCAGTGTCCCTGTTCCAGGTATCCCTGGGCTGTGTCTCAGTGTCCCCTGGGCTGTGTCTCAGTGTCCCTGTCCCTGTTGCAGGTGGCCATGGGCTATGCCCACTCCCTGGTCATCGCCCGGGATGAGTCGGATGCGGAGAAGGAGAAGCTGCGGAAGCTCCCCGAGTACAACCCCCGCACCATCTGAGGGACCCCCAGGCCCCCAAATCCCGCTTTTCCAACCCCGCTGCCGTTCTCACTCCCTGTTCTCCCATTCCCAAAACCTTGGGGGGGGGTGTTATTTCCACACTCCCCCCAGCTTCTTGAGTTCCCGACCGTAGCAGGATCTTTTGGCACATCCAGGCTTGGTTTTGTAGGGTCTTGTTTTTAATTATTTGTATTTTATTTGTATTTTTCTGCATCTTTTTTTTTTTAATTGTTTCCCATTTTCCCGGCCACGACTACCCCCGGCTGCGGGCTCAGGATCAAAGTGGGGATCTGATCCCGGCTCGGGATCCCTTTAGGGCTTCAGGATCCCTAAAGAGCAGCTGCAAACGCCTCCTTTGTCCCCAGGATTCCCATTTTGGTGCCGGTTTTCCTTACTTTAGGTGCTATAATTTTCGGGATATCCCACACACGGCCCTCCAGCATCCGGAGGGAGCCAGGACCTGGATATCACCCCCCCCACCCCCAGGGCCAACCCCATTCCCAGCATCATTCCAGGGCTCCCCTCCCCGCTGGCGCAGGGAGATCTCAGGGATGAAGAGGGGAGTCCTGAAGGATTTATATTTTCCTTGGAATTCTGAATTTCCTTTACTCCTCGCTCCTGATTTTACCTGGGATCAGCCGGAATTCCCTCCTCCCCTGCCGTGCACTGTGCTGGAGAAACGAGGTGCCTTTTGGAGCAGAGCCCGGCTCTGCCTTCGGTCATTTCCACTCTCGCTTTATTTCGATTGTGCAGATTTTTAGGGTTTCTTTGGAAATCATTCCATGGTTTTTAGGTCCTTCCCACTCTCCTGCTGGATGCTCCGGGCCAGGCAGGGAGTTTGCAGTAAAAAAAAAGGGGCTTTTTGGTCATTTTTGGGGCTTGGGGAGTTATTTTGGGGGGTTTGGGGTGGGGTGTTAGAAAGGAAATATCCAGGCCAGGGAGAGCAGCTGGGCAGGAAAGGCCAATATTCCGCTTTTTTAGCAATATTTAGGATTTGGGGGGGTGTGGCACCAGAGGATGCCACAGCCCCAATAAAATGGGGGGGGGGGAAATCACCAAAACCCCACTTTTACCCCCAAAAATAGCCTCGTGTTGGGTCATTGCCACCAGCAGAGGCTTTCCAGCCTCGTGGAATGCTCTGGAAGCAGGAGGAGCCGGGAAGATCCTGAGCAGGGAGGCCGGGGGTGGGGCCAGAATGGGCTCGGGGCTTTTATATTTCTTGGAGTAAATGTTTAAATCAAGGATGTGTTGTGTCCACCCCCACCCCGCGCCGGCCCCGCCATTCCCTCGGGGCAGCTCCTCAGGCTCCCCTTTCAGCTCTTCCCTTCTCACCTTTCACGTTTAAAATCTCAAGGTTTTTCATCTCTAAAATCTTCATTATTTTAAAAAAATTTGAAATATCAGTTTATTAGTTTAGGGTTTGGTTTTTTTTAAGCCCTCGTGTGTCAGTTTTAAAATTTCAAATTGTTCGTTTTTAAGGTCTCATTTCCTTCATTTTCAAATTTCGATTTTTTAAGTCCTGATTTTCTAATTTTAAGGATTTAAAATTTAACTTTTGAAATTTTAATTTTAAAAAAATTAATTTCAATTTTTAAATTTCTAAGTTCTAATTATTTCTATTTTTATCCTTATTTTTAAATCTTTGAATTTTTATTATTGCATTTTTTAAATTATTGTTGGTTTTCTGTCTTACTTTTAAATTTTATCTTTAAATTCTATTTTTATTTTACTTTACCCTAATGTTTTCATTTTTAGTTCTAATTTTGATGCTACTTTTAAACTTTTTGTTTCTATTTTTATGTTTTAATGTAACCTAGTTTTTTCATTTTAGCTCTAATTTCTCTTTTTAAGATTCTTTTATTTTTTTATTTTTCATTGTGATGCTTCTATTTCCTCTTATTTTTTAATTTCTATCCCATTTTTAACTTGTTGCTTTTTTACATTCTACTTTTGACTTCTTTATTTTTGAAACTGTATTTTTCTCTCAATTTTTAATTTCAATTTTGGAATTTTCATCTTTATTTTCATTTTTTTTTTCATTACTAACATTTCCAAATTTTTAAATTTTTACCATTTACTTTCTTTTTTTTTTTCATTTTTGCTTCACATTTTTTAATTTCTAACATTTACTTTCAATAGATATATATTAATTTTTTTTATTTATTAATCACTTTTTACTTAAGACTTTTCACTTTGAAATTTTTCCTTTACTGTTTTGGATTTTCCCATTCCCTTCCTTTCCCCAAAGGCCCCACGAGTAGTTGCTGGAATCCCAATCCCTGCCATCGGGTGGCACCACCTCCATCCCAAAATATTCCTACTCCATCGGGTGGCACCACCTCCATCCCAAAATATTCCTGCTCCAAATTGTCCCTTCAACATTCCGCAGGGCGGGAACTCTGGAATGTGTGGGAGTTCCCTCTGTGTGTGGGGGGGTGACTCCATCATGGACAAGGGGAGGGCTGTGGATCCCCCTCTGGAATTCCTGGACAACCCCAATTCAGGGGCTGGATCCAGGGACAAGGGGGAGCCTCAACAGGGCCAAGTGCCGGGTCCTGAACCTGCGTCGGGACAAACCCGTGGAACGCTCCAGGCTGGAAAGCCGGGACAGCCCTGGGGGTGGCGGTGGCAGCGGCCGGACACGATCCGGGTGTGCCCGGGGGGAAGAGGCCGATGGGCCCGGGGGGGGCTCAGGATCAGGGCAGGGCCCGTCCCTGTGCTGGGCACGGCCCGGGCACCTCCAGCCCCGGGGGCACCGCTGGGACCCTCCGGACAAGGAGGACACGGAGGGGCTGGAGCGTGTGCAGGGAAGGGAACAGAGCTGGGAAGGGGCTGGAGCAGCAGGAGGGGCTGAGGGAGCTGGGGGGGCTCAGCCTGGAGAAAAGGAGGCTCAGGGGGGACCTTCTGGCTCTGCAATCCCTGACAGGAGGGGGGAGCCGGGGTGGGGGGAGGGTCGGGCTCTGCTCCCAGGCTGGACATGTCCCATCCCAAAAATCTCCCCGTGCCCGGAGCTGCTCCCGCAGCATGGGCAGCAGGGCAAGGGGGGGTTCTGCCCCTCTGCCCCCTGGGGTGGGACCCCCCTGTAGAGCTGCCTCCAGCCCTGGGAACAGCACAGGGAGGACCTGGAGCTGCTGGAGAGAGTCCAGAGGAGGCACCAAGAGATCAGAGGATGGAGCAGCTCTGAGAGGGGGAAAAGCTGGGAGAGCTGGGATTGTTCACATGGAGAAGAGAAGCTCCAGGGAGACCTTGGAGCCCCTTCCAGAGCCTAAAGGGGCTCCAGGAGAGCTGGAGAGGGACTGGGGGACAAGGGCTGGAGGGACAGGACAAGGGGGAATGGCTTCCCACTGCCAGAGGGCAGGGATAGATGGGATACTGGGAAAGAATCCTTCCCTGTGAGGGTGGGCAGGCCCTGGCACAGGGTGCCCAGAGAAGCTGTGGCTGCCCCTGGATCCCTGGAAGTGTCCCAGGCCAGGTTGGACGGGGCTTGGAGCAACCTGGGCTAGTGGAAGGTGTCCCTGCCCATGGCAGGGGGTGGCACTGGATGGGCTTTAAGGTCCCTTCCAACCCAACCCATTCCATGATTCCGTGATGTCTGTGCATGTGGGACGTGCCCATGTGCATTTTGGCACTGACAGCAAGGCAGGGACTCTGTAACCCCACTCACCACTACTCCCCCTCCCAGTTTAACCAGCTGAACATTTGTTCCTGTGCTGGAAGATTCACAACCCCCAGAAAAACATCCCCCAGCAAACTCCAAAGGAACCACAGCCCGTTTTTAATTCCAACACTGAAGGCACTTGCAGGGGTGGGGGTGGGATTGGAGGAGGAGGAGGAAGAGGAGGAGGAGTAGGAGGAGGGTTGGTGCTGAAACCACCTCAAGGCACCACGTGCCACCACTTGAAGGAGAAGGGCTTCCTGCGGACGTTGGTGCCACAATGGACCTCCCCAGACAGGACGTGGTAGGAGAAATAGTCGTCGATGAAGGTGCAGGTGAGGCCCAGGGGCTCGAGCAGCTCCCGCACCCGCTGCTCCAGGCAGCACTGCCCGCCCACCACGGGCCCGAAGGGCTTGGGGATGCCCAGGTGCCTGCCCAGCACCAGCATGTTCACCTGCAGGGCCAAACACGCTCAGACCCCACCCCAAACCCCCCCCGGGGCGGGGCAGGGGCAGGGGGAGGGTGGTTGTTACCATGTCTGGGAAAAAGGCCTCGGCGCCAGAGGCCACGTCCCCGTGGAAGAGCTGCGGGATGTCCACGATGTCCGGCTCGGCCAGGCCCAGTGCCCGCTTCAGGATGTCCCTGTTCCAGCTGATGCAGCTCTGGAGGGACGGAGGGAGGAGTGGATGGAGAGTGGGATGGATGGAGGGACTGAGGGATGGAGAGATGGAGAAACAAAAGGAGGGGGAGATGGAGGGACAAAGGGAGGGAAACGGGGATGGTGGGATGGAGGGAAAAAGATGGACAAAAGGATGGAGAGATGGAGGGATGAGGGCATGGAGAGACAAAGGGATGAGGAGATGGGGGGACAAAGAGGTGGGGAGATGGAGGGACAAAGGGATGGACAAAAGGATGCAGAAATCAAGGTACAAAGGGAGGGAAAGATGGACAAAGGGATGGAGAGGTGGAGGGATAAGAGCATGGAGACATCAAGGGATAAAGGGAGGGAAAGGGATGGAGAGATGGAGGGACAAAGGGTTGGATGTTGGGATGGGCAGCCAGCTGAAGGAAGGATGGGTGGATGGAGGGATGGAGAGGTGAACAGAGGATGGAAGGAGGGTTGATGGACAAAGGAATAGAGGGGTGGACACAGGGATAGGTGGGCAGATGGGTGGGAGGGACAGAGGGAGGGGTGGTTGGATGGATGGATGGATGGATTGAGGCACAGTGATGGAGGGGTGGGTGGATGATGGAGGGAGGGATGGGTGGAGGGATGGAGAGAGGGCTGGAGGGATGGAAGGACATGGAGGGAGGGGTGGAAAAGAGCCCCCTGCTCTCCTTCCTCACCTGGACGTAGCAATTGAATTTCCGGAGCCCTTCATTGGTCAGAATCTCGTTTATCGTCGGCTTGGGCACCTCCTCCAGCCCTGCAGCACAGAGAGCCCGGCAGGAATCCCTCCCTCAGAACATTTGGGATAGCACTGCCGGGTCTGATCCAGGAGCTCCCCCATTTCAGGGGCAGCAGCATCTCCAGCCCCAGCTGGGAAACCAAATCCATGCAGCCTTTCATTAATTCCGCTCAGTTCTGCCCTGACTTTCAGGGCACATCCTTCCCCCCCCAGCAAGTTTTGCAGGAAAAAGGGAAACTAAGCCCATCAAGTCCCATTTCCCACCCTCCCCTTACCCTGGAACATCACAGCCTCTCCGTATCCCTCCTCTTGCTTCTCCTTGAGGAGCTGGTAGCAGGCGCTGGGACTGGCCAGGAGCAGACGGAATCCCTGCGGAGGGAGACGGGAGGAATTTTTTTGGGGTTATAAAGGTCCCACCACACCTTTTTTCCCCCCTGGAATCTGTTACCTTCCTATCAGGAGCAGGGACAAAGCTGAGGAACTCATCCACGTGGCCGACATGGAGCCAATCCGAGAACAGCTCCACGGGCGCCTGCACTTTTTGGGCCACGAGGAAATCCTTGACGGCCTTTGCCATCCTCCGGCCACCGAATCTGGGGGGGACCGGGGAGGGAACTCACAGTTTGGGGTGCCCAAAGGGATGCTCTGCTTGCAACCAACCTCAAATGGGGCGTGAAACCCCATTTGGGGGGATTTCCCTCCGTCCTGGTTCTCACCTGGGGAAGCTGCTCCCGATCAGGATGCGGCCCAGGGGGTACTCCTTGCCCCTCACCGTCACGGGGGGGCTCACCTCCAAATTCCCGAAAGAATCAAGGTCAGAAGCTCCCTCTGGAGCTTGTCGGGCCACATAACCAAAATCAGGGCCCTGGAAGGGGAAAAAGGAGGACATGAGGACGATTGCACTCGAGCCTTTTTGGTCCCTCCCAGCTCAGCAGCTTCTGTGATAAACAAAGAAATAAAGCTGTTGGCACCCAAAGTGCTCCCAAACCACCCCGTGCTGGCTCTTCCCAGCCCCAAAAATGCAAGAAAGGAAAACATTTATCCTCATTTTTATGGGTTTGTGAAGCTTTTTGCCTTGATAGGAGGGGAGGAGGAAGGGGCTGGTACCAGGATTTTCTTGATGGGGAAATCCTTCAGCCCCCGGTCCCGGGGAGAGTCGAAGACGACGGGGAAGGTCTTGTGGGGGGCTTGAACGTAGCCAAATTCAACCTCATCCTGGAGAAGGGATGAAGAAGGTCGAGGAGAGCCCTCCTGGAGCTGCTGTGTGGAGGAGGGGGGTGGGCACCCACCTGGATCCAGCGGTCGTGGCGGTTCTCGGGCAGCGGGCACACGGTGAGCGGGCACTTGGCCTTCTCAGCCACAGCCCTCACGGCTGCCACGAAATCCTTGTTGTCATCCACGCTGGGAGGAAAAATGAGATGTGGGAGCTGAGCCAGCACCAGACAGGGCTCAGCCACCCACCCAACACCCACCTGCAGACAAAGACCTCCAGAGGTGCCAGCGTGTTGGGGGTCATGATCCACGGAGCCACGCGGAAAACCACGGTGTCGGTGAAGATGGGGGTCTCCAGCAGCCCCTGGGAGGGGGGGACGAACCATCTGGGCTCTGCTCCCCCCTGTTATGGCTCATCCCAACCCCCCCCAGGCAGTACCTTCTCGGGGCTCTCCAGCAGCGTGACGTGGAAAGCCACCAGGCCGGAGAAGTCGACGTCGGGGAAGGCGAGTCCCTCCACGTAGAAGACGCTTTCCTCCTGGTGCCGGCTGGGTTTGACGGTGTAGGAGAGTTTGGAGCCCCCCAGCACGTGTTTGTACTCCTCCAGTGCCACACTGTCTGTGGGTACAAGCCCCCTGAACAGTCACCCCCTGTCCTGCAGCGTTTCAACACTTCTTTGCCTAAAACCTTCCGAAAACTCCCATTTAACCCCGTGGTGGAAAAAAATCCCACCGTGCCATGAATAAACCCTCCCTCCCCTATGGGATGCAGTCCTTGTTCTGCCTCAAGGGTTTGGTTTGAAGCCCAGTAATTTGGGGGTCTGTGGTCCAGATCCCCGTGCTGAGCACTCACTGCCACCGTAGAAAACTCCCACTTTATCGGAGTCGCTGAAGTCCACGTGGAGCAGGAGCCGGTGGCCGGTGAAGATGGTGCGGGGCCCTCGTGTCCGCAGCACCATCTGGGACATGTCCTTCAGGTCTGGGGGGGGAAGGGAGAAAGGGTGTTAGGAAGGAAAATTTGGGTGAAAACCAGGAACAGGGTGGGTTGTTTGGGGCATGGGAGCACCGTTGTAGGAGCGGATGGCCGTGTCCCGGTTATCCGGCGTCTCCGCTTGGGGATCGTCGCGGTCGCAGTTGACCAGCAGGATGGCCCCGTGTCCATCAGGACCCCACGTCCACGTTGCCTTGAGGGGGACACAGAGCAAGGTGGGGGTGTCACCACAATCCTCCCGTGCTGGGTTGGTGTGACAGGGTTTGGTAGCGGGGGTTTGGGGTCCATGGAGCCAATTCCAGCTGCTCCAGGCTGAGCCAGCAGAGGTGGTGGGAACCCCTCTGGGATAACACAGCCAAAAGGAAAAGGTTCCTGCCCCCATGGAATTGGGTACAGAGAGGAGAGGAATGGGAATACGTGAGAGGAACAGATCTGCAGAGCCCAGGGCAGGGCAGGAGGAGGGGCAGGAGCTGCTCCAGAGACCAGGGATGAGATTCCCCTGAGATTCCATGGGGAAGCCCAGGGAAAGGCAGCTGAGCCCCTGCAGCCCAGGGAGAGCCAGGGTGGGTCAAATCCACCTGCAGCCCCATTCCCATCTCCTGTGCCGCTGGAGGGGGGAGGGAGAGCTTGGGAAGGAGAGAGGGGTGGGGGGAGGTGTTTTTAGGGTGCATTTCCCTTCTCATTCTCCTGCTCTGCTCTGGTCAGTAATAACTCAGTTCCTGTCCCCAGTTTGGGTCTGGTTTCCAGGAGGTGATGGGTGAGGGATCTCTCCCGGTCCTGATCTCGATCCATGACCCTTGGTTACGTTTGTTCCTCTGTCCACTCGCAGAGGGCAGCGACAGAGCAGCTTTGGGGGTGTACCTGGTGTCCCCCCAGGGTCAACCCCCCATCCCACCCCCTCCCCAATCCCAGGGATCCCCCCTCCCCGTTGGTACCTTGTCCAGCAGCGTCCTGCTCACGGCCCCACTGCGGCCGGTGTCGGCATCCAGGGAGACCTCTGCGGGAAAAGGGACAATGGTTCGGAGGGGAAACCCCCCCAGGGGCACAGCGTGGGGGTGTCCCCCTCACTTACCCACGCAGGTGAGGTACAGCATGGCCCTGCCCACGGGGACCCCTCCGGCCTCCCTGAAATAAGAAATCCTGACCTGCAACGAGGAGCGGGAGCTCGGCACGGGCGCCAGCACGCACCGGGTCCTGCCGGAGCGCCCACACCCACCTTCTCGTCCCCCACGTCCTTGCTGAGGGTGTCCATGGCCAGCAGCACCTCAGGGTGGGTGCCCAGGGGCCAGCGGGCCACGCTGGAGGGCAGTTTGATGCTCTGGGAGTCGTGCACCACGTAGAGCTTCACCCCCGGCGTGCCCTGCACGTGGAAGGCCACAGCGTCCTTGGGAGCGGAGCTGGGAGGGGTGGGAAGCACAGTGAGGGGGGGGATCCCTGGAATGTTGGCCCTGGGCAGCGAGGGGACACCCTGAGGTGTGCAGGGAGGCCGGTGGGATGCAAGGAATTGTGCAGCAAGAGGGGGAAAGGCAGATTGAGCCTGGGAAATGCAACAGCAACAAGGGCTGGAGGGTGGATTCGGGATCAATCTTTCAATAGGGAGCAAATCCCGATGTTTAGCACAGCAACAAGTGGTGCAAAAAGCAGTGAATCCTGAAAAGTGAAAGTGCAATGAGTGCTGGAGTGTGAGAGTGTGGAAAATCCTTCAGTGTGGAACAAATCCTGCAGTTTAGAGCAGCTCTGAGTCCTGGAAAATGCAACTAATCCTGGCAAATGCAACGGTAACAAGTGCTGGGGGGTGAATTTGGGGTCAGTCTTTCAGTGTGGAACAAATCCTGACTTTTGGAATAGCAACAGGTGGTGCAAAAATGCAAATAATCCTAGCAAATGCAAGTGCAACAAGTGCTGGGATGTTGAACTGGGATAAATCCTTCCATATGGAATAAATCCTGAAATTTGGAATAGCAACAAATGGTGCAAGAATGCAACCAGTCCTGAAAAATGCAAGTGCAAGAAGTGCTGGGATATGAAATTGGGATGAATCCTTCAATATGGAACAAACCCTGACATTTAGAAGGGAAACAAGTCCTGAAAAATTCAATTACCCCTGGAAAATGCAACTTCAACAAGGCCTATGATATGAAACTGGGATAAATCCTTCAACATGCAATTTAGAACTGCAACAAGTCCTGAAAAATGCATCTGCAACAAACCCTGTCACATGACATTGGGATAAATTCCTTAATATGGAACAAATCCTGCAATTTAGAATTAAGACAAGTCCTGGAAAATCACAGAATCACAGAATCAGCTGGTTTGGAAAAGCCCTTTGAGATCCTCCAGTCCAACCCTTGATCCAACTCTGCCGTGGTTCCCAGCCCATGGCACTGATGCCACATCCAGCCTGTCCTTAAACACCTCCAGGGATGGTGAATCCACCCCTCCCTGGGCAGCCCATTCCAATGGCTGAGCACACTCTCTGGAAAGAATTCCTTCCTAATATCCAACCCAAACCTCCCCTGGCACAGCTTAGACCGAGCCCTCTTGTCCTACTGCTGGTTCCTGGGAGAAGAGACCAAAGAGACCGACCCCCACCTGGGAACAACCTCCTGTCAGGAGTTGCAGAGAGTGCTGAGGTCTCCCCTGAGCCTCCTCCTCTCCAGGCTCAACAACCCCAGCTCCCTCAGCCTCTCCTCACAGCACTTGTGCTCCAGTCCCTTCCCCAGCCTCCTTGCTCTTCTCTGCCCCTGCTCCAGCCCCTCCATGTCCTTCCTGACCTGAGGGGCCCAGAGCTGGACACAGCACTCCAGGGGTGGCCTCCCCAGCGCTGAGTGCAGGCCAAGAATCCCTGCCCTGCTCCTGCTGCCACTGATCCTGAGCCAGGCCAGGAGCCCTTGGCCCTCTTGGCCCCCTGGGCACACTCTGGCTCATGTTCAGCTCCTGCCCCTCCACACTCCCAGCTCCCTCCCTGCCTGGCTGCTCTCCAGCCCCTCTGTCCCCAGCCCTTGGGCTGCCGGGGCTTGTTGTGGCCAAAGGACCCGGCACTTGGCCTGGTTGAACCTCATCCCCTTGGAATCAGCCCATGGATCCAGCTTGTCCAGGTCCCTCTGCAGAGCCCTCCTGCCTTCCAGCACATCAACACACCCCCCAGCTTGGTGTCAGCTGCAAATTCACTAATGGTGGACTCAATCCCCTCATCTAAATCGTCCATAAAGAGATTAAACAGAACTGGGCCCAGCACTGATCCCTGGGGGACACCACTGGTGACCGGATCCCAACTGGATGTAGCCCCGTTCCCACCACTCTGGACCCTCCAGCCAGTTCCTAACCCAGCACAGAGTGCCCTGTCCAAGCCCTGGGCTGCAGCTTTTCCAGGAGTGTGCTGGGGGAGACGGTGTCCAAGGCCTTGCTGGAGTCCACGGAGGCACATCCACACCTTGCCCTCATCCACCAGGGGAGTCCCCTGGTCATAAAAGGAGATCAGGTTGGTCAAACAGGACCTGCCCTCCTAACCCCTTGCTGGCTGACTCTGATCCCTTGTCCATCCTGTAGGTGCTGTGTGATTGCACTCAGGATGATCTGCTCTGTAACCTTGCCAGGCACGAAGGTCAGGCTGACAGGCCTGGAGTTCCTTTTGGCCCTTTTTGTGGATTGGTGTGACATTCCCCAACTTCCAGTCATCTGGGACCTCTCCAGTGAGCCAGGATTGTTGGTAAATGATGGAGAGCGGCTTGGCAAGCTCTTCCGCCACCTCCCTCATCACCCCAGGGTGGATCCCATCGGGTCCCATGGAGTTGTGAGGATCCAAGTGGCTCAGCAGGTCACAAACTGTTTTCTCCTGGATTACAGGGGGGCTGTTCAGCATCTTATCTCTGTCTACAAGTTCCAGAAGCCAGCTGTCCTCAGGACAACCTGTCTGACTGCTGAGAACTGAGGTAAAGAAGGTGTTAAAAACCTCAGCCTTGACCTCATCTTGGCTGACTCTGTGCCCCCCATACCCAACAAGGAATGGAGGTTTTCCTTGCCCCTCCTTTTGTTGTTGATGGATTTGTGGTAGCACTTCTTATTATCCCTGACAGAAGTGGCAGGATTGAGTTCAAATTATGCCTTTGTCTCTCTAATTTCCTTTCTGCCTAACTATGTTTCTGAACTCTTCCTGAGTATTCATGGAACGCGACTGCAAAGAGTCCTGAGGGGTGTAATTGTGATAAATCCCTCAAAGTGCAGCGAGTTCTGTGAGTTAGAGTGGCAGAAAGTCCTGGGAAGTGCAACTGATCCTGGAAAATATAACTGCAACAAGTACCAGGAGACGAAACTCTGATAAATCCTTCAATATGGAGCAAATCCCAATATTTAGAATGGCAAAAAGTCCTGAAAAATACAATTACTCCCAGAAAAATATAATTTCACCAAGCCCTGAGGTATGAAATGGGGATAAATCCTTCAGTATGGGACAAATCCTGACATTTAGAGTGGAAAGAGGTCCTGAAAAATTCAACCACTCCCGGAAAATGCAACTGCAACAAGTCCTGGGATATGAAACTGGGAGAAATCCTCCAATATAGGGAACAAATCCTGCAACAAGTCACACAAAATGCAACGAATCCTGGAACCTGCAGTGGCACCAAATCCCACAAAACGGGATTACAGCCAATCCTGCAAAAGGCAATTGCACCAAATCCCGCCAAAGGCGATTAGGGATCAGGGAAATCCTGCCGGAGGCAACGAGCCCTGGAAAAGGCAACGGGAACAAACCCCGGGATCTTGGCGGCAGCAAACCCCCAACAGGCACAAAATGCAGGGATATCCCACTGCAGGAAGAGCTGCAAATGCAGCCAGTCCCCTAATGGGAAATGGTAGCAAATCCCATAAAATTCAACTCAATAATCCCCCCAAAACGTCCCAAATCTTGAAATATTCGTGACAAGAAATTTTGCAAAATGAAAAAAAAAAAAAAAAGGTATGACAATTTTTTCCATTTTATCTTTTTTTGTTTGTTTGTTTTAATGTTTACTTCCAAATTTATTTTGGATTGTATTTCGAAATTTTAACATTTGTGTGGTTTTTTGTTGTGGTTTTTTGGGTTTTTTGGGGTTTTGTGTGTGTATGTGTTGTGTTTTTTTAATTTCCGGGGTTTTATTTACAACTTTTCATCTGAAAAATTTTCATTTCCGTTTTTGATTTGTGCTTTCCCTTCATTTCACTGCTTTATCCAAAGCGCTGGGCTGTGAAACCCAGCTGTGATAAATCCTGAGATATCCCGTCCCGGCACAACCCTGGAGCTGTTCGGGGTGGATTTTTGCCACGGGCATCCCAAATATTTGCATTTCCACCGGCAACGAGCCCTAACCGGTGACATCCCTTAAGAACGAAGCAAATCCTTAATGGTTGGGCAGGTCGGAGCTCGTTTCACTCCGCAAGAGGCCGCGGGCGATGGGCCCAGGAGTGCAAATCCCTTCCCGGGAGAAGGGAAATATGGATCCATCCCTCGGGAAGAGGGCAAAACCCACCCCGGGGCGGGCGGGATGCTCCGGCAGTGGATTTGGAGGCATTCGGGAAAATAAAGCCCCCAAACTGCTGCGGCTTGAGCCGGGTTTTTAAGGGAACAAAAAGCAAAACCTGCTGCTGGAAAAGCTCCCGAAATTTTGGGGCTGGAGCCAAAGAAACGGCGGCGGGAGGTGTCGCCCGGTCGGCCCCGCAGGGATGGTTTCGTTCTCCGCATTCCTCCAAAACACGGAAATACTCATCATTTTTCAGGTGGATCCCGGCCGGGATGTGAAACTCGGCGTTAAAGCTCCCACCGGGGCTTTTTGCACCCCAAAATTCCCTCGGGAGGGGTCCCTGTCCCGCTGTGATATTTGGAGCATCCCCGTCCTCGGTATCCCCTGGCAACACCCCCCAAGAGCAGCAGCGTCTCCCCCTCCCCGCTCTGGGCTATTTTTACACGTTGATTAGAGCGATAAGAGAGGTTAGAAAAGCAGCCGGAGCGTGCCCTGCGCTTACCCCGCGACATCCAGGGAGAGCTCCGTGCCCAGCACGCACACGGTGCTGGTGGGGCGCTGGACGGACAGCTGGACACGGCGCTGCTGGGCCATCGCGGCGGCCCCAGGGGCACCCTCGGGTGCTGTGCGGGCTGGCACGAGGGGATTTATAAAGCCTGGCGGCTGGGAGGGGATCAGCCAAAGCCTGGTTTAATCCCACCTCCGGGCTGCGAGCCGCGCTGGGCGTGCGCGGGTCCGGCCGCGCCGCCGGGGATGGAGCGCGGCTCGGAGCGGGGGGACCCCGAGACACCCCCGGGGTCAGAGGCGCTTGTTAAGGAGCCCAGGGGTGGGGTTGGGCCCCCCGTTAGCACAGAGAGACGCTGATGCGAGCGGTCACCCTTAAACCCACGCACTGAAATATTCAGGGCGACACCGGAGCCGAGCTGGGGCTGTGCCAGCGCAGCGCTCGGCGGGGGCTGATTTCTCCTTCTGAAGGGTTTTATTTGTTTAGCCCGAACAATTGCCTTTCATTCTTATTTTAGGCGAGGGTTGCAGGTGCTGGCCCTGTCCTCCGGGTGCTGCGAGGGGTGGGGATGTCACCTGAGGGACGCCTGACCCTCGGCGGGTTTAATCGCCTTTGTTTTAATTAAATCCTCGTCTCGGCGTGGGAGAGCCCTTTGTCCCGCAGCTGTTCCACCGCCACCTCCCCGCGGGGTCACGCGCCGCTGGAACTTAATATCCCTCCTCAGGGCTCGGCAAACGCTCAGCAGCGTTTCAAGGGGAAAATGGGCTCAGAAAGCAGCTTTTTAGGCAAAAAAGGGGTGTTCCGTAGGATGGGTGACCCTCTGGGGAGCATCCCTCTCCAGCGCCGTTCACTGAGTGGCAGGAGGTTGAAGTGGAGGTGCTGTCACACCTCCGAAATATTCCCAGGAAAGCAAATTGGCCAAAATAAGTGGGTTTAGCCCCAGAATAGCTCCCGAGGTTACACAAGGCTGAGCCGTGCCCGCGGCACGGGTTGGTTTCAGTTCCTGGTGCCAGGCACGGGGAAATGCCGCGCTCCGCTGGCAGTGAAAAGAGGGAGACAAAGAACGGTCAGGGTGAAGGAGACGGAAATTTTCTCCTTGGAAAAGGTGTCAGATGATCTGGATGAGAAGGGGGGGCCTCAGCCAGGGTGCCCAGCAGGAAGTGGGTTTGGGCCACTACAGGGAATTTGAGAGGGCATTATCAGCTCCAAACCTGCAGTGTGGGACTGTAAGACCCTTTAATCGTGGGGGGAGGTCTGAGCACCCCAGAGCAGCCTCGTGGTTGTGTCCCTCAAACCCCCCACCCCGCTCCCAAAACAGACCCACGTGCCATGCTTAAAAATAGGGTTCAAAGGATGTTTCCAAGCCAAGAGCAGGGGAAGGAAGGATGGGAGATGGGGGAGAGCTGCAACCTCGGTGTTCAGGAAGGATGGGAGATGGGGGAGAGCTGCAAGCTCGGTGTTCAGGAAGGATGGGAGATGGGGGGAGAGCTGCACTCTCGGTGTTCAGGAAGGATGGGAGACAAGGTAGAGCTGCACCCTTGGTGTTCATGAAGCTTTATTGGTAAACCCCTTTATTTTGGTGCATCTTCTGATGCACCAAATCACCTTCATCCCCCGGTGGCAGGACCTGGGTCTGTCCCCTCAAGGCACCACGTGCCACCACTTGAAGGAGAAGGGCTTCCTGCGGACGTTGGTGCCGCAGTGAACGTCCCCGGACAGGACGTGGTAGGAGAAATAGTCGTCGATGAAGGTGCAGGTGAGGCCCAGGGGCTCGAGCAGCTCCCGCACCCGCTGCTCCAGGCAGCACTGCCCGCCCACCATGGGCCCAAAGGGCTTGGGGATGCCCAGGTGCCTGCCCAGCACCAGCATGTTCACCTGCAGGGCCAAACACGGTCAGACCCCACCCCAAAACCCCCTCGGGGCGGGGCAGGGGCGGGGTGTGTGGGGAAGGAGGGGTCGGAGGCCTCACCATGTCCGGGAAAAGGGCCTCGGCGCGGGAGCCCCTGAGGATGAAGAGCTGCGGGATGTCGATGATGTCCTGCTCGCTCAGGCCCAGCTCCTGCTTCAGCAGGTTGCGGTTCCAGTCGATGCAGTGCTGGGGGAAAAAAAGGGACCTGGAATTGCCACCCTGGGCCATCCCAGCCCCTCAAATCCCACACAGGGGTCCTGTTGCATCCTGCCCGGATCCTCACCCACTCCATTGCATCCCACCCCATCCCTCTGAGCAACCCCCACTGCATCCCCAACCCGAGCAACCTCTCGGTCCTTCAGCTGTCCCTCTGTGTCACCTGGGGCATCTCCCAGAGGGACACAGGGCTTGGGGCGACCAGCACTGCCTGGCTCCTTCCTGGCTGCTCTCCTTGCCCACTCCTGCCATTCCCCAGGATCTCTGTCCCCAGGAATGAGCCGGCAGTGCCGTGGAAGGGAGGAGAGCGGATCCCCCCACGGCCAGGGCTCACAGACCCACCTGCACGTGCCTGTTGTCGCTCTTGAGCGACTCATCCGCCAGGATCTCGTCGATGCTCCTCCTCTCGCTGTCCTTCAGCCCTGAGTGGGGTGGGAGCAGTGAGGGACACTGGGAAGGGACACTGGGAAGGGACACTGGGAAGGGACACTGGGAAGGGACGCCAGGGATGTCCTCCCTCCCTCACCAATGAACTGTGTGGCTTCCCCGTGGCCCTGCCTCTGCTTCTCCTTGAAGAGCTTGTAGCAGGCATTGGGACTGGCCAGCAGGAGTCGGAATCCCTGCGGGAGAGAGCCCGGGGGTCACTCTGTTCTATCCCCCCATCCTGCGGATTCACTCCCAAATCCAGCCCCAGGTACCATGGGATGCCACCCACGGACTTCTCCCCTTCCAGGAAGCCACCCCAAAAGAACTGCACCCCCATCTGCCCGTGGAGGCCAAGCAGCCCCACCAAGGGCTGGTTCAGCTCCCAGCGGGAGCGGAGGCGGCCCCAGGGCTCGGTACCTTCCTGTCAAAGGCCGGCACGAAGGTGAGGAATTCATCCACGTGGCCCACGCTCAGCCACTCCGAGTAAACCTCCACCGGCGCCTGCACCTTCTGCGCGAACAGGAAATCCCGGACAGCCTTGGACATCCGCCGGCCCGAGGCCCTGCAGGCACAGCGAGGAGGAGACGGCGGCGGCCATCGCACCCCTCCCGAAATTCACCCCACCCTGCCCTCAGCAGCGAGGGCGGGGGGCGAGCAGAAACATCCAATTTTCATGGGAAACACTGGGAAGAGACTGCTGGAATAGTCCAACTGTATTATACATATCAAGATACAATTTATGTTCATTTTATATATGTGCAGATGAATGGATGTTTATATATATTATATATACAAAATAGATCTAATTAATATAAATTATATATTACTCTACATTAATACAGATATATCTACCTAATACCTCAATTATGTATCATCAGAACTATGTTATATATTATTAGAACTATGCTATATATTATTATATGTTACCCGTTGTAATTATATATTTATATATCCCTACGTTATATATAAAAATATATTACTATATCCCTATATAATATATAAAATTTATTACTATATCATTATATTATATATAAATATATTAATATATCCCTATGTTATATAAAATATATTAGTATATCTCTATATTATATACAAATATATATCTAGGCCTTATATATCTATGGCCTATTAATATATATTAATATTCATATATAGGAATATATTCATATATTCCTATATTATATATAAATATACTAATATATTCCTGTGTTATATAAAAATATATTAATATATCCTTATATTATACATGATATATGTATTACATTAGATAAGGTATTAATATATAATTTTACATAATATTATATATAAATATAAAACATAATATGTAAATTATATATATAACTTATATAAATATATAAATTATGATATATAACATGTAATTATATATAATATATACAAATATACATCCTTATATAATGCATATTAATATATCCCTCCATTCTCTCTATAAATATGTATCTAGGCCATCGATATCTATAGACAGTGGGTGCCTTCCGTGCCCTGTTCTTGGGCTCCTTTGGGTTTTATTTTCCCCCATCCCCGCGATTCCCAAATCCCCCCTCCTGCTGCACTCCGTGCGGGGGCGAAGTTTTCTTAGACAGACGGCAGCAGGCTGGGAAAACATTAATTAACCCCCTGCTAATTAGGGATAATTAGGGGCCCGGGGAAGCCGGGAAAATGCCCTTTCCCTGCCGGCGGGACCCGCGGGAGCAGCGGGAGCAGCGCGTCGGTCACGCGGGGCCAACCCCACTTCGCTCCTCCGGGGGGTTTGCGGCGCTGCTGCCCCCACGGGCACCGCCTGCCCAGAGCGAAACGACCTCCCCTTGTCCGGGGTTTCTCCCTTCCCAGCATTTCCCCGCTCCCCTCTTTAAGAACTCGGGGAAACAATTCCAAGCCTGGAAGTGCCGGGGGATGGGAGCAAACCCCGCGGCTCTGGGAAGGGGGGCAGCGTTTTGGAAGGGATGAAGGGACGGCGACGTGGTTCGCCTGTTAAATCTGGGATTTGCTGGGAATTGGCTTCTGATTCCCACTTTGATTCCAAATTTCCTCTGTGAGAGGTGCCACTTTTCCCAGGCAAGGATTTTCGGTGCTTCCCCACATTCCGGAGGCGGGGCTGGAGCTCCTCACCAGGGCAGGGGGCTGCCGATCAGGATCCTTCCCAAGGGATACTCCTTCCCCCGCACCGTCACCGGAGGACTGACGTCCAGGTTGCCGAAGGAGTCCAGGCTGGTGACGTTTTTCCCAGGGGGTTCACGGGTCACGTAGCCAAAATCGGGGCCCTGGGGAAGAGGAGGAGGGAGGTGGTGCCAAGGACCCTCCGTAGGGGGGGGGTCGGGGGGAGAAAAGGGGCTTTCGATGCATCGACGCACCAGGATCTTTTTAAAGGCAAAATCCTTCAATCCCCTGTTCCTGGGAGAGTCAAAGACCACGGGGAAGGTCTTGTGTGGTGCTTCCACATAGCCAAACTCCAGCTCATCCTGTGGTGGGAAGCAGAGGAGGAGGAGGAGGAAGGGGAGGAAGGCCCCGGGCAGGGTGATAGGCATCTCCACAGGGACGGTGGGGAGGGTGGAGCAGGAAATGGGGTGAGCCTGGCAAAGCTCAGCTCCTGCCCTGAACCACAGCTCGCTGTCCTGGGGTGGCACCCCACCCAGCACGGGACAGCCCTGGGCAGCAACACGGGCCACAAGGGGCAGGGAGAGGGGCAGGGCTCTGGGACAGGGAGGGCACTGCCCACTGGCCCACCCGAGTTCTCCTGGGGGTGCATGGGGGGGCTTCCTGCAGGGGAGACCCTTCTGTGCAGCCTGAGGGTCCCCTCTTTCAGTGGGGATCCCTCTTGCTGTGCCCCCTGGGGTTCTCTCTTGCAGGGGATCCCTCTTGCAGTGAGGACCCTCTTCCAGAGCCCCAGGAGATGCCTTTTGCATTGGGGTCCCTCTCACAGTGGGGACCCCCTTTGAAAGTTCCACGGGGTCTCTTTTGCAATAGGGTCTCCCTTGTAATGCTCCCATGGGATCCCTCTCAGTGGGATCCCTCTTGCAGAGCCCCATGGGGTCTCTCTTGCAGTGGGAACCCCCTTTGAAAGTCCCACAGGGCCTCTTTTGCAATGGGGTCCCCCTTGCAGTATCTCATGGGGTCCTTCCCAAAATGAGTTCCCTCTTCAAAATCCCGTGGGGTCCCTCTTGCAGTGGGGTCCCTCTTGCAGCGCTCCATGAGGTCCCTCTTCCAGTGTCCCTATTCTAGTTCCAGGATTCCTGGACACCATCTCTGCCCGTGCTGGTTTCCACCACCAGCAGCATTTCCCTGGGCTTTGGTTCCCAGCTGCCTGCTCTATCTCCCAGCACCCAAGTGCTTCCCAAGCAGCCAGTCCCTCCAGGGAGTGCCAGCCATGGGAGTGACACCTCATGTCCCCCAGGAGCCTGTAAGGGACTAGAAGAGCCACAGAGAGCAAGCATAGACTGATGGACAAGCATGGATTGATGGGCAAGCACAGACTGATGGACAAGCAGGGACTGATGAACAAGCAGGGACTGATGACCTGGATCCAGCGGTCGCTCCGGGTGTCCTGCTCCGAGCAGATGGTCAGCTTGCAGTTGGCTTTCTTCAGCAGGACCCTGAGCCCTTCCAGAAAGGCCTCGTTGGAGTCTGAGCCCTGCTTGATGCTGGAGGGAGAGGGGGGGACCAAGGAGTAGGATCACGAGAAGTTCCCACAGCCCCAACCATGCAGCCCATTCCTCACTCCCAAACAGGCTGGGCAAGAGTCCTGCATGGGACAGGACCTGCAGAGCCCCTCCAGCCTCTCTCCTTGGCACTGCAACAGCAGTGACATCGGGCTCCACTCCCAAATAGTGCCCCCAGTAATGGATGCACAAAGCCTGGCTCACCCCACTGTTGCTGCACAGCAAAGAAGGGCCAAAAACGCCTCCTTGAAGAGTCCCCCAAGGCAGGAGAGCAATGGGGCAACATCCCTCCTACCTGCAGACAAAAACCTCCAGAGGCTGCTGGGTGTTGGGCGTCATTATCCAGGGAGCCACGCGGAAAACCACCGTGTCCGTGAAAATCGGCGTGCCCGGGGAGTTCTGTGAGGGGCAAAACCAGCAGGGAGCAGTGCTGGGAATCCCAGCCACTGGGGGCTCAGGGAATGGGGCAAACCTCACCTACCTTGTGGGGGACCTCCAGCAAGCTGGCGCTGAAGGAGACCAGCCCAGAGAAGCCCCTGTCGGGGAAGGCCAACCCTTCCACGTAGAAGGTGTTCTCCCCGTTGCCGATGTGGTCCAGCACATAGGAGAGCTTGTCGGGCCCCAACACGGGTTTGTAGTGGGTGTGTGAGTCACTGCCTGCAGAAACACCCAAACACCCACCCAGGAGTGGTGACCAGCCCGCTGGAGGGGCTGGCAGGAGGCACCGGCGAGGCCGGTGCCGTGCAGGTGGCAGGGCAGCAGGTGTGCCTCCTGCTCTCCGGGAACACTCTGCATCTCCCTGGCACAGAGAGGACTCCGTACCCTCAGGTCCAACCCTTTCAAGGTGCGTGGCTCGAGTTAAGTATCTAATGATACCCTTGGCTTCCCCGACCTGATTTTCGGCGGGGACCTGCCGGGGATGGAGCTGTTCAAAGGCAGAACGAGATGGGCAGCTCTGGGGTTTGGGTCACTGCCCATGCCACAGACGAGCTGGGCTTTCCGCTCCACGGGAATGCCAAAATTTCATCAGCCCCGTGGAGAAAAGCCTTCTTGTGATCTTTTTCCCCAGTCGATTTTTTCCATGTGGCCCCACCTTCCACCACAGCGGAGGAGTTGGGGCTAAACAAGTGTTTGCAGCAAATGGAAGTGCCCCAATGAAGGGAAAATTTAGACTTTGCTCACATTGGGGTCATGCTTGGATATCTGGGAAAACAGGAAGGAAGGAATACTCACGGATGGCGTGGAAAACCCGCACTTTATCCGCGTCTGTCTCGGAGACGTGCAGGACCACCTGGTACTCATCAAAGGTGGCGCTGGGCCCTTGGGTCCTCAGCAGCATCATGGACATGTCCTGCAGGTCTGCGTGGGGAGAGATGGAGAGAGGGGGCGTGGAGAGAGGGGATGGAGGTGCTGCAAGCGGGAAAGACCCCAGTGAGACCCTCTGGGTCCCCTCAGGCTGTGGGGGACACTGACCTGCAGGGGTCCGTATGTCCACCTGGCCGCTGTCCGGCCCCCCCATGCCGGGGCTGTCCCGGTCACAGTTGACCAGCAGCACAGCACCTTGTCCATCCGGGCCCCACGTCCACTTGGCCTGCAGGAGAAGCACCAAAAGAGGACTGGAGCAAGATTCCCCCCATCCCATCCTCCTCACCACCCGGGGGAACGCCTGCTGTCCTCCCCGCTTGGAGCACAACCCAAACACCGGTGACGCTTTCAAGGCACTGCATTTCCGAACCTCAGCTTCCAGCAGGGCCAGCAAAGACTACTTGGAAGAGATCTTATCTTCTGACCAGGCAGAAAGTATCTGCCAGGCCTCCTCTGGACAAGGCTGCACCGTTTCTAGAGACACGTCCCATCTCGATGCACGATTTGCGCCGTTGATTGGGCTGCACTTAATTAGCCCAACTTAAGTGCTTGGGCATATGCAGATTTGTTGCCAAAGGGGTAGGTCTCTGGCTGTTTGCTAAACTCATTTAGTGGCCTGTTTCATGTGCAAAAAGGAAAAGAAAGAAGAAAGGACAGGGAAGAAAGAGCAGAGGGTTTTGTCCTAAGAGATCCTCAGGGCTGGAGTGGAGACGTAGGGAATTTTGGCACGGAATAAGAAAAAAAAGTCTCTTCCTCCTCAATTAGTAGGTTGAGGATTTCCCAGGTTATTTGCCCTAATTCAGACACCACCCAAGTCCCTCTCCTTCCTGGAGATTTTCAGGAAAAGACTCCAAATGGATAGACCGGGACTGACTCTCCAACAAAGCTCCTCATTACCTTGTCCTTCCCTTTGCTCTTCACTCGGCCGCTCCGGCTCCAGTCCACGTCCAGGGACACATCTGAGACACCGAGAGAAGGAACCACGGGCAGCAGAATGAGCTCCTGGTGCCCTTTCGGGCTCATCCAGCACCAACCCCACCTTCACACCCCAAAGCTGCTCCAGACCCAACCTCTCCAACAAAATGCTGACAGAGAATCCAACCCGATGGTGTTTTCATGGCCGCCCCCCTTTGATTTCCAGCTGCTTTCTCCCATTTTGGTTCCCCCAGCAAGGATGTCCCCATTTTATGGTGCATTTTATGTTTTCACCAATTTCATATTTATTTTTAATTTTATTTATTATTCCCTGTGGCTGAGTGAACACCTAAATAATTCCAAGGCTTGATGCAGCATTTGAGAAGGACTTTCCCTCCTGTCCTTGGCCCAGATTTCTGCCTCTGCTGCTACAGAGCAGAGGTTTACCAGCAACCTCATCCAAACCCTACCTTAATCCTAATAAAAAACCTCCTCTGAGTGGGATACACCACATATGGAAAATAACAGGATTGAGCAGAGAGGAGGACATGGAGAAGCTGGGAAGGAGAGCCCAAATCTAATCATGAGGAGAACATTTGTAAGGCAGAAGCCCTGTGGCCATGGCAGCCCCAGATGGCTCCAGTGGAACCCATCAGCTGAGGGACGTGGGAAACCTTCAGCCTCTTCAGGCCCAATTTTGGGAGGCATATTCATGACTTAAGGACAGAGGTATCATGTGAGTGCTTTAGAAAATCCCAAATTTAGGGTAATTAATCCATCCAAGTGGAAGGCCTCTGCATCCAGACTGGTTGTCTAGACTCCCTTTGTAGTCAGCAGGGAAAAACAGGCATTTGGAGGGGATGATTCACCTCACCCTAAACTTCTGAAATAGGTCAGACAACACTTGGGTGCCAGTCGCTCTCCCCTAACTGCGACACAGGTCGAGGGGGAGGAGGGCGCCAGGCAAAGCTGGGTGAGGAGCTCTCCCTCAGATCCTCTTGGCCCAGTGCACGGTGTTGGCAAGCAGAGGAGGATGCTCGGGCTGTGCTGGGTGGGGACCCGGCCCAGCCTCTCTCTTTTGCACCATATAAGGCAGTGCAATAACATTTTAATTGTTCCCCTCTTGCTCGTCAGCATCGGTGAACACCCAACCCTCCTCCCCGTGCCCCCCACTTAACTCCCACCCCACCAACCCAACCAGATCTCGGCACCAGCGAGGCCTGGCCGGGGGTTTGTGTAACACCTACCGACACACGTGAGGTACAGCCAGGCCACCGCCAGCTCGTTGCCCTCCCGGCCGTAGTAGGAGATCTTAACCTGCAAAACACCCCGATGTCACAGCCCACGTCCCGGAAAGCTGAGCAGGGCTCCTCACTGCCCACATTGACCAACCAGCCAGACCTTGGAGGGTTCACCCAAACCATCCTCCATTAATCATAGTTCCCCCAAACTGTTTCTGCCTGGTTCAGCACAAAAACAGGCATGGAAATAGTGAATCTTGGAGGATTTTTGCTGCCTGGCACTGGCTTTTGCAGCCTCCGCCGTGTCACCAGGAGGGCACAAGAGGGGATCTCCTCCTTCTCAGTTTCATTTTTGGTACATGTTAATTACACAATTCGGTTGGAGTTCTTTTCCATGAAAAACAAACTCAATGTCAGCACTGCTTAGCACTGACTCAACTACTCAGAGGCTGCCCAGAACCCTCTCCATTTTCCCGGGAAATTGGGCTCCTTTTTCTGTTTTCGGTGCCTGGAAACCCAGCTGACCTTATTGTCATTGACGGTCCTGCTGGTGACATCAATGGTCACTACGACCTCGATGTCGGGGTCCAGGGGCCACCTGGAGTCAATCATGGGCTTTGTCGTGGGGCTGTGGATGATGTGGACCGTGACCGCAGAGGTGGCGTGGACGTCGAATGACGTGGCGGCTTTGGGGGTAGATCTGAAACAGAGGATTGGGTTAGAGACCAAGCTGTCCCTCCAGTTCTCCTCTGCTTGAACCTGGAATTAAAATCCAGCCTTAACTGGGTGGAAAGGGCTCATAAACCATCTTTGGATGACGAAATGGTTGAGTTTTCCATGCATTATCTCTGTGGTGGTGTTGGGCAAGCAGAGCTCCTGCTGCAGCTCCAGCACGTCCGCCCGTGGTTAAGCCAGGATTGTGAATCGCCAAAGTTTGGGCATCCAACCTCCCTCCACAACACCCAGAAAATGCCCAAAATTTCAGCATCCTGGGACGAAACCCTGACAAAGAGCCAGGATAATTTTTAATGGCAACCATCCGGGGAGATGGTTATTGCAGGACCACCCCTTGAGCTGCTGAGCTGAGAGATGCTCAGACTTGGAGGGGAGCCCAAATCCGAGCACAGAGAACCCACACCCCACCTGCATGACATCCTTTGGCAGCCTTTGAAGTGCTGCCTACCTGCTCATTACAGCCCCAGCAGCTCCATCCCAGGAGCACGAGTGCTCCGACCTGTCTGCCGTCGGGAGCCTCCGAGAAGGCACGAGGTGGGAAATTTCAACAGCAGGAACAAAAGGGAGAACATCAAAAAACTGACAGAGGAGATTTATTCCCGGTGCTGCTCTTGGCATGGCATCCCTGATGCCTGCAGCAGCTTGTACAGAGAGATTAAAGCATCATCTCCCTTGACATCCCCCATCCTTAACATCGTTGTAACATCATAAATCCACCTGCATGCTGCTGGATGTCGTGACTCCTCCAGTCTGGGTCTCTTTCCTCTGGTTCTACAGCCCTGGTTGTAAACCCACCTGAGCATTGTTGGATACCATGACTCCTCCAGTTTGGGTCTATTTGCCCTGATTTTACTGCCCTGGTTATAAACCCACCTGAACATTGTTGGATATCGTGACTCCTCCAGTTTGGGTCTATCTGCCCTGTTTTTACAGCCCTCCCATGTCACCATCACGGATTCCCACCAAACTCCATTTCCTACCCCAAAACAGACAGCCCAAACCATGGTCAAAACTTGATGCATCCTTCACCAAGTTTCCCCCAGCTGGTGCTGTCCTGAAATAAAATGATCCCATTTTTTTAGTGGAAAAAGCATCCACCACCTGTTTTTTTGGTCCAAAGCTCAAATTTGCTACAGAGGAGCCAAACCAGCCCATTTTGAGGCTCAGGTCCAATGTTTAAATAGATCAGAGCGCGCTTTGAGTCCCAAACCAGGAAAAAAACTTGCAAATAATAGGATTTTATATATTCCCGTGTGGCTGAGGGAGAAAATAAGACCCTTTTAGGGCAGGCAAAGCTCAGTGCAAAGCCCTTGGAGGGGGACGACGACACATCCTGGCCCGGCACCAACACACAACCCCAATAATTGCCCTGGCTGTGATGCCAACTGACTTGTCCTGTCTGTATCATTATAATCATGATTTATTAAATAATGCCCTGTAACAGCAGGGCAGACACAGCCTCGTATCTGACCAATAAACCAACCCCTGTATTTAATTCCGGAAGGATCTCCTCTCCTGGAATTGCCCGGGCAAAATGCGCCAGTGGATTTTTTCAGCCTGAGCCACAGGTTTTATCCTTCAGCCCGTTTTAGCTCCAAGTTGCTGAGCTTGAATCGCTCTTGCCCAATGTTTTCACAGCCAGAAATAGACCCAGGGTTAGCCGGGGTGTGCTCGGGCTTTGCCTACAAACCATCACGGCTCGGTGACGCTTCGACGCCTCGGCAGAGCCGGCGTCCCTGCCGGTGGGACATCACCCCCGGGACACGCCCCGCGGGACACGGCCCCGCCGGGCGCTGCAGCAGCTCCTCGTGTGGGCTCCAAGCGAGCTCTGAGCTCCCCTCCCTTCTCCAAAGCACCACTGGGCTCCTCCAGACCCCACCAGCACTGTGGCAAAGGATGGGAACACCCCGACCCCGACCCTGACCCCCACCCCGACCTTACCGGCGCGTGTCGAGGAAGACCTCGGTGCCCACCACGCAGACGCCGTAGGTGGCGTGGCTGGTGGACATCTGCATGACGTGAGGCTGGGGCATGGTGTGCCCGCATGGGAAGGAGCCTGCTGCCTGGCTGTGCAGGGAAACCAGCAGGACTGGATTAAAAGGCAGGGGAATTTAACTCCTCCTTCCCTCGATGACGGGGCTCGGCCAGGGGACCCTGCCGGTCTCCACCTCCAGCACCTCCAGCACCCAACGAGCTGCCGCCCCGCTCGGGGAGATGGAGGCGATAGGGCGGCCCCAGGGAGGGGACACGGGGCAGAGGTGACACCCAGTCCTGCCCTGGGATGCTCAGCACTGAGCTCTTAGGCATTTCTTCTCCCCCTTTTCATCCCTTCCCAGCTCCATCTAATTCCTCCAGGCTTTAATGCATTAAACATGCATTACTCCTCCGAGGTGGTTGTTTGGGGTTATTACAATACTATCATTGCAATTGAAGCTTTTTGCTTTAAAACAACCCAAATTTTCCGTGGGGCCTCTGCACGGGTGACTCACGGCCTGGGCTGCAGCATCAGGGCAAAGGCTGAACAAAGCTGAGCAAAAGGAAATGTTTGCTCAGGTCGCTGCTTCCCATCAGGACGAGTCCCGAGGACGGGAGACAGGCAGAAACGGGCACAGGGAGAACTGGTTGTTTGGCAGGGAAGGGGAAGACAAGAAACAACAAACCAACAAGAGGCTTCCCGTGGAAATTAAAAGTTCTCCCTGTTTCACTTGTGTTTCAGGGGATTGGGGTTTTTTGGGCAAAGGTCCCACGGGAATCATCCCCTCTGCTGGAAGGTGGCATTACTGGAGATAGCCATCTCTCTCCAGGCCATCCCAGGAGGATTTGCCTGCCTGCAAAGAGGGAAGCCAGGCAAGGTTAATCTTGTCGAGGTGGGGAGGAGGTCTGGGGGATGGAGCTCAGCTGGAGGAAAAGGCAAAACACAGGGACAGAGAGTGTCCCGTTTGCCACACAGTTCATCCTTACGAGGTGATGTGTTCAGCTTAGGGATGCCATGGGCAGGAGAGGGCTGGAATGAAGAGGAACCCAGTTTTGGAATGAAGAGGAACCCAGTTTTGGGAGTGGCAGGACCCCTTGGAAGCCGGGAAGGTCCAAGTGAGCTGAGCAGAGTCGGGGCCCAGTCGCCGGCAGGGCAGCGAGCGGCGCGTCCTCCGCCGGAGGAGCAGCCGTTCCCTTGGGAGATCAAACCAGCTGCTTTACACATCTCCCAGCCAGGACACATTAAAGGGCTCCCTCCGTCTTTAATTGCAGCAACAAAACCCCAGCTCTGTGTCTCGGATGCAAGAAGAGCTTTAATAAATCCGTGGGAGCCTGGAGGAGAAGTAGGATACTCCGGTGGGGAACACCGGTGGGGAACACCGAGCTCTCCTCGCTGGAGATTCCAGATAAACCCCCATTTTCCAAATGCCAGCACAACTCAAACTCTGTGTGTTCCCAGATTTGTGAATTGTGTTGGTTCTCAAGGACCTCGTGGATCCCTAAACCTGGAGCTGGGCAGAAGCAGAGCTGGAAAAGCAGGTGAGGAGCTGCCTGCATCCTCTGAGGACAAGTTTGGCCACGGCAGCATCTCTCCTGAAGGAGCTGCAGCTTGGGTTCCCCACTGGTGGCTGCTGGTCCCACTGGTTTGGACTGGGCACAGTGCTGAGCTTGCTGCCTGCTGGGATTGGAGCCCCGTATCCTGCTCGGCTGGTTCCCAGTGCCGGACAGGGAACACACCTTAATCCCCACGGGTCAGGCTGCTGTGGGCTGTAATCTGGAGGGAGGGCGAGGACGGTGGTTTCAGGCTCCCAGTGAGCCTCCAGCAGAGAGCGTTTGTCCAAATCCAGCCAGGATCCCTCCCATCCATGGGGAAGGATGGACACAGGGAGCCCGGAATGTTTATCCAAATCCAGCTGGGATCCCATCCATGGGGAAGGATGGACACGGAGCCTGGAGCGTTTATCCAAATCCAGCTGGGATCCCACCCGTGGGGAAGGATGGACACAGGGAGCCCGGAGCAGTTATCCAAATCCCGCTGGGATCCCATCCATGGGGAAGGATGGACACGGAACCTGGAGCATTTATCCAAATCCAGCTGGGATCCCATCCATGGGGGAAGGATGGACACAGGGAGCCCGGAGCTCACGGCCCTTTCGGGTTTGGGTGGATTTCTCCAGCGCATTCAGTCACGGGCGCTGGGTCCCTGCAGAGGCTGGGGCAGGCCCCAAACACCTTGTGTGGGTTGGGTGGGACCTCCACTGCCCTCCTCTTCCTCCTCCACCTGCTATTAGGCCGACATGCCCGTGCACAGGGAGAATGAGCATTTTAAGTCATCTGGCCCATTCAGGGCTGAGTGTTTCTTCCTAATAACACCTTGCCCTGAGAAAGTTGCTATTAAGATCCCTGGGACATGACAGATGGGATCCTGCCTGTCCATCAAGCTGCAGCAGCTCGGCCTGCCCTCTCTTGGGCCTGACTTTGGCTTTTGCCCAACTTCAGCCTGGTTTTAGGCACGACCCAGCCTGACCCGGCCCCTCTCAGTGCTCCCCTGGGAATCCCATTCATCCCATCCCTCTGGGGCGTTTCTTCTCGCCCATCCTGCACCACCACTCTGTCAAGGAAAGTTTGATAATCTCCCTAAGCCGATAATTACCCCTTATTTATTACTCTGCATGTCTAATTGCAGGCAGGAACTTTTAAGAGCCGTGTCAGCCTAATTACTTGCAATAGGGCAAGACATCAAACCAGTTATCAAGTCCCGCTGGGGTTTGCATGAGGGTTTATTTTCTTTAGGCACATAGCTGTAACAGCAGGGCTGGAGTATCCCAGACGGCCACCAAGCACTCCCCATCCCAGCTGGAAGCCAGGGAATAATGGGGAGATGCTGGTTTGGACCGGGAAAAAAAAGCTTTTTGGTGTCAATCCTGGAAAACCTCCTGGCTCTGCAACCAGAACGCCCCAAAAAAATCCCCTTCTGTCCTTTCCCCTCCACAAAGCACAGGCGTCTGCCTGCAGGGAGGCTTCATACCATAATCCAGGATCCAAAGCATCCCATAAAACTGCTGCCGCCCGGGGCTGGAGCCGTGCACGTCCCCCCCGTGCTCACCCTGCCCACGCTCCGCCCCAGCTTTGCATTCAACTTTGCTGCCCTATAAATATCCCTGCGAATATCCCCCCTCTCCGGGGCAGCAATAACGCCAGGGGTGGGCTCAGCTTTGCCTTCATCCTCCCCACTGCGTTGGTTTGGCCTCCTCGGAGCTGCCTCTTCCCAAAATTCCGGGCAGGAACGGGCACGAACAGGCAGCGCGCCTCGTGGCTCTCTCTCGGGACGGGCACCTGTTTGCACCTCCTAAACATGAAAGGTTAGCTCGAAAGGGCTCCACGGGGGAACATTTCCCTCCTACTCGTTGGAATCAGGCTCGTGCCTCCACGAGGGAGCCACAGAATGACCCCAAATCCTCCCCCCATCCCCACCAGGGACCCTGATCCCGGAGAGTTTTCCCTCGAGCGGCTCCTGCCCGGGTGCTCCTCGGGGAGGAGCCGCTCGAGGGAAAACTCTCCGGGATCAGCTCTGAGGGGCTACTTGCAAACCCAGGAGCTGGGATCTGTGCCCAGCTCCTGGAAACCGGGGCGGGCAGAGCTCCACCAGCAGCGGGGAAGTTTCTGCAGAGCAGCTCCTGATCTGATTCCAAGACGGGAGCAGAGAATTCCTCTGAGCAGCCCGACTAAAGGCAAGTGAAGCACGAGCCTCCAGCCATCTCCCTGCGGATGTGCAGGTGTATCTGGGTGTCCTGGGAGGTGCTGATCTCCCACCTGACAGCCCAGAAAACCCCCCATCCTTGCAGCCTAAACGGAGGCTGATTGAACAAACCGTGGGCAGACCCACCCACGATTTCGCTGAGATGGAAACAGGCAGGTCCCTGTGCCTGTTCCCAACACCAGCAGCTCCAAAATCACCTCCAAAGATCCCAAGAGGCTTTGAAAGACCCCCCAAAAGCCTTGCAGAGATACCCAAGAAACTTGGAAAGATCCTGAATGGGAGGCAAAGAAAAAGGGTTGTAAAGTCATGGGGAAGCTTTAGGAGACCTCAGCAGAGCTGTAAAGACTCTGAGAAGCCACAGAGGCTTCCAAAGACCCCCAAAGAAGCTTTAAGAGACCCCCCCAAGGCCTTGCAAGGACCTTAGAAAGCCTATAAAGACCTTGCATGGCTGGCAAAGAATCCCAAAGGGTCGTAAGTCACTGGGAAGCTTTAGGAGACCCCAGAAGGGCTGCAAAAACTCTGAAAAGATTTTTAAGACGCCCCCCCAAAGGCTTTCCAAGATGCCAAGAAGCTTTGAAAGACCCCACATGGCTTCTAAAGACCAAACCTGGCTGCCAAAAACCCTCAGAGACCAGTGCAGTGGAGGGGAAATGGGCTCTTCCAACCTCTTTCCCACTCAGTCCAGCAGCTCCTCCTTTTGTTTTGCCCCCAAACAGGGCATTTTCCTCTCTTTTGTTTTGTTGCCTCCTCCCAGGGAAGCACAAACGAGCCCAAAAATGCCTCAGGGGAGCCCAAAAATGCCTCAGGGTAACCCAAAAATGCCCAGAACCACCAGGGTTTCAATCCCTGGGATCACAGTTTTCCTTCTGCCTGGCAAATTCCAGCACCATCACACCAAGAGGGCTATAAATACATTAATAAATAAATCACTAACACAAACCAGCTCAAAATCCTGCTGATTTTAAAATTCCCAAGGAATGCCGAAACCTTGGGGTCTGCATGAGATGGGAGGGATTTGGGGTTGGGTTCTGTTGGGTTTTTTTAAACAAAGGAGGATTTAAATAACATTTGTTCTCCTCCCTGACAACTGAAATACCAGACTCTGGGGGGCAGGAACTGGGAAGTGAAAATGATGAAAGAGAAGCTGTTTTTTCACTAATTTGCTTTCAAACTGATGATTTTACACCTCCATTTCCCCAGCCCACAGATCACAGGGAGGTGAGGCCATCCCTGCCTGTGCAATTCCAGCTGTTTTGGGGGTAAAAAGAGGGAAAATAATTCTCCTGCAGGGCTGACAGCAGAACCTGCTGGGGCAAACACGAGATGGTTTTGGTTTCTTTCTATTTTTTCTCTTTCTAAATGATTTCTCTTTCTGGTTCCTCTTTCAGGAGTGTTTTGTTACTCCTGGTGGT